GCGATTTATTTATTTATTTATTTACTCGAATAATCAGATTGTTTTGATTGATTTGATCTGATCTGGTTGATTGATTATTCCAAATTCTAATTTGTAGTGGTTGATATATATATACTATATTACTTGTACAAGTATGGATCTATTATTTAAATTGAATGGAAATGGAAGATTTTTGTTGGAACAATTATAGGAATAATAAAGAGAATTGGAGTTGGGCTTATCATATACTCGAGTAAAGTAGATAAAGAACAAATATAATAATTGTTATAAATAATAGTATTTTAAATAATAGTACACGCACGAGCTTTGATTCTAGCTTCTTTAGCTTCTTAGTACTGAGATACTTCAGAAGCTATATCGCAGTTTGTTCTCTAAAGACTTATTAACTTAATAACTTGAATTATAAAAATTAAAAAGTATACTTGGATATTCTCTCTTTAGATTTTGTTTTATTTATTATAATAATAACAAGTATACTATAGTAATTACGAGTAGTATTAAAGATTAAATATGAAAATCTATATAGTCTTTTTAAACAAAATATATATTATTATATATTAAATATTTATATTATAAGAGTATTCTATAATACAAAAGATAAAATATCCCTGATTATATAATTTGGTTATTTCTATTTCCTAGTTACTAGTAGAAGAACAGGATTATTATACAAAGCATAGAAGAAAAAAACAATCTTGAGCAATAAAGCGATGTTATTAAACTGTCAACTCATTTATATAAGTCAATCAAATGACGAGTCACCTCCGTATAGTACATGGCTGGCATCGCTCCACCTTAGACCTGGGTATTTCCCGTCCTACTTGCAAGTACTATACCGTAAGTAGTAGAGTTTTCCTCAAGTATATATTAACAGCCGAGCCTTCAATAATGAACGACTCACGATCATCAAGTTCCCCATTCATTCCCTTCCTTCGATCCAACAGAAACCCCTTAATCATGTTGGGTTCTATCCTCACCTCCCTTTTGATATCCGCGCCTTCAAGTTTCGCCGCAGCACTTACTCCCGGTCTCGAACTCGCCTATACAGACGATCAAATCAGCCAACACAAGGATTTTTCATCTCGGCTTCCGGTTGCAAGTTCCTCACCCAACGATACTCCTTAACCAAGGCTCCCCAATGTGTTGAGCTCCTTCCTCAGCGAAAGTTCCACCGTGTTGTACGTACCCTGACGTTGTATGGAACTCATACAGTTCCGACGCCAACTCCACCTCCGATGCAGCTAGCACATTCGTCAGTGTTGACGGTAACGGCTCTTCCAAATTGGTTGGTGTTAACCTTACCACCAACACTGTCGATAAACTCTACTACCTCGACGGCATCATTACCTCCAACAGTGGAATCGACGACGTGCGATTCGGTCCCACCGGTAAACTCGCCTACCTCAGTGACACCGCCGGAGCTTTAATTATTCTAAACTTGACCTCCGAAGCCGGGATTCGTGTCCTTGCTGACGACCCATCTGCTGTTGCTCACTTCCCTATGGCATTCAAGCACACTCTTCTCGAGGGATACGGATACGGATCCGGATACCTTTCCGTCGGACTTGATCAAATCGAAGTTTCCCCCGACGGAGTGTACTTCTACTACCAACCATGCAACGGAGGCATATACCGTATTGAGACTCGATATCTCAACGCCTCATTGACCAACAACACATTAGCCGCATTCCTTGGTGATTTGACCGGGGCTTTCGCGGAGACGCCATCTACCGGTGGTACGACCATTGATGCCGACGGAAACATTTACGTCAGTGATACCAATTTGATTGCTATCTGGAAGATTACCAAGGATGGATATGCTAGTATCCTTGTCCAGGACGATGCTCTTGTTTGGACTGATCTCATGTGGGTTACCGCTGATAACACTCTGTGGCTTCCTGCTTCTCAAATGCGTCCTGGTGGAAATGGTCTTTTGGCTGATGGCCCTAACAACATCTTCACTTTCCCAATCGACGCTGGTCCATCTCCAATCGATCACGCTTAGAAAGTTTCTCTACAGTACAATCTCATTAGAATGCTCAATGGTGTTATTCGATGAACTGTTGGTTTCGGTAGAGTATTCCAATCATTATTTCTCAAATCATAAGTAGTGTTGTTGTCGGAACATATGTCGTGTGATTCTTTCCCATACCCAATGGTACAGAAGGAGTATATAATGACCTCCTCTTAGCTAGCTACTTACCTAGAAGAATCAAGCATTTAACAATATGAATAACAGAACCCTTTGACTAGTTCATGAACCCCAATATTTAACCAACAGTTTGTAGATGCGCAACCCGATAATGCGGTTATCACCTTGACTTACTGCTTCGGGCATTCACACTAGCGCTTCTCATGATATACTGTAACCTGCCACGTGCCTGCGTGAGATCACTACTTGTTGGCACAAACTAATATAACACCAAGTAGGTATTGGGATCTCTTAAAGCATTATTAGATAACTTCCACTATCTAACCTTAGCTCCAAATTGCCTTTAATCAACTCTTGGAGAATGTGTCTTCTGGCTCAATGGTATGGCAGGTACAGGAAAGTCTACAACATGGCGCACGATAGCGCAATCATCCATCGAAAAGGAGTTCTTGGCGGCAGCTTTTTCGTTAAAAGAGGCGAGTATACCCTTTATCCACTTCCCCCTTCACTACTCACCTCCTACTTAACCCCAATAAACCCCACCCCACTTCTCGCCTCATCCGCTGCCTTATTCAAAGCCTGTTCCTCAACATCCGTCCACTTAACACTCAACTGATCCCACTTTGTAGTCTTATACTCATGTTGAAATTGTTGTTTCATTTTTTGGTATCGAACCATTTCTTTTGGATCGCCAGAGCCGCTATAGATGATGAATGCGGTGCAGGGAGGAAGTGAGTTGTAGATTTTGTGGATGCGTTGGGTGAGAGCGAGTGTTGCGGATGAGAAGGGTGACGATGATGAGGGTTCGGTAGTTGTTGGGGTCGCGGTTGCTTGTGAGGATTCGGTGACGGTGATTGAGGAGTCGGAGGGTTTCGCATTGTTAAAACTCTCCATGGTCTTCTGCTCACTAGCAGAGTTTGGCTCCTCCACAATCGTATCAACTTTAGTCTTCTCACCGGCTTCGTTAGCTGCGGTATCGTCGCCTTCCGCCGTACTTTTGGAATCTGGAGCACGAGGGAGTCTTTGGTTATTCCATCCTTTTAGATCCTCCAATTCTCTGAATCTACCCCAAACAAAATCTACGCCACCACCAGGAATCTCCTTGCCATCGAGATCTCCCTTTATAGCTCGAATGATACCCTCCATGACCTGTTCGTCACTTCGGCATCCAATCGAGAATGTCGCAGCACCTCCAGGACCTCTCTTTGGATCACCCCAATCAACGGCGGCCGAAGTTTTACCGTTCGTGAAATCTGGTATGGCTGATCCTACTTGGTTCTTATATCTGACACCTGCTCGAGCTAATCGCTTGAACAGGTTCTCACCTTGTGAATCACTTGCTCCCCAGTCAACTCCCTTCTCGCACTTTAGCTTTACAAGGTCAAGACAAGTTCTGGCATCCTCAGTTGAGTCATGACCAGTTGCTCCATGTCCCTTTTGTATCTCTTTACCAAGATATTTTTGTGCAAGCCATTTCAGAGAGGATTTGAGTGGTGGACCACGCGGATGAGGATATATAACAGCGGTATCGATGATGTATGGATGCGTAAGCTTGAGGGCTTTGAGGTCCGAATCGAGAGAATGTCCGATTAAGATTGTTCGTGGATGAAACAGCTCGACTAATTTCTTTTGTATATCTTGTAGTGTTGTTGTGACAGGAGCAAGCATTGCTTCAGTCATTCCAGAGTATCTGCCAACTGTTAGCATCTTTGTCAAATCATGAAATAAACACTTACTGGGTAAGATAATCGATAATTGGCTTCTCCGGTTTTACAAGCTCATCAAGAACAACTGAACCATCCCAACTGACAATACTTATGCGCGTGAGTGAAAATTCACCCTTGCCAGTCATACACATTTCACAATCCAGAGCGAAGATTTCTCTACCAACTGTCAAACTTCCTTGCTCAAACTCATTATCTGGGACCGCTCCTTCGTCAAAATTATTGACTTTTGTATCTACCCATCCGTGAGCTTCGTCAACCTCCCACGTCTTCCGCTGCTCTGCCAAGTTGCTTTTATCGATGGCGTCGTTATAGGTTGCGGGATGTAGGGTATAACCGTTTTCTTGGAGGTCTTCCTGCGATGTGAGGAATTGGGTAACCGGTGTGCGGCTATTCTGCCAACCTTTTGGTTCTCTAGCTTTCCTGGGGCCTTTTCCATTGCTATTCTTGTCATCTTGGCTTTTAGTTACAGGTGCTGTTAGCATAGCATGTAAAGGAGAATGCATCTTGGCATATTTCTTGTCTCCTGGTGTTTTGACTGGCCATATATATTCAAACATATCCGCAAATGGCTTCAGATAATCAGGCAAAGCTTTAGACTTTAGCTTGCGTGGATAGATATCCTCTGGGGAATATCGACGCGTATCAGATGCAGGTTTGGTACCGAACATTGATTCCTCAAGTCCAGGGACCATAATCACGACAACTTTTCGAAATTGAGGTCGATGACGAATGGAAACAAATTGAGGAGCCATGCCATCTGCAAGAATATAAAGAGCGAGACCTTGTAAATCTCCAATTTTGATTTGGTCTGAAAGTCTAGACTCTTTTGCTGCGAAAGTAATAGCAGGGTAATTTCCACTTTCAGCTTTTGGTATCTTCTTGGCTTTCTTTTTTGGTCGTCTGTCTACCGTTTGCCATTCTTCAGAGGGAAGCTTATCACCAAGCTCTTCTTCTTTACCAGTAGACTTTGCAGATGTCAAATTAAATTCTGGTAAATCTGGTTGACGAAGTTCTGATGATACTGATTTCATATTGGATTCCTCTTCTTCCTCATGCTTGCGCTTTTTAGAATTGACATCACCATCGGATTGCTGCGATACTGCGGGAAGGTCTGCGACAGTCATTTTCGAGGATTGTCGTAGATGGATATGTTTGTAGCAAGGGCAAGATTTTAGATTTAGATGATAGAATGACTTTACTCGAGTATAAATTCTACAGTAATCAGGCGGTGAATGGCAGAATTAATAAATTTTACCCAATATAGTAAGGCGTGATTAAGCCTCGGTGGTTGTTGGTTAATCCTTCTCAAGCTCCCAAGTCTATCGAGGTAAGATAGAGAATATCATATTTTATGAATCTGTTTATAATATATCAGATCATTACTCGTTACATCCATTGTTTAATACGTTATGTGGGCGAGGTCAATTGAAGAATAACTGTAAAGTTACCTACCCTTATCAAAATAGCCAAACACGAAAAACCCGCCATCTCACGCGTTTAGCCATACATACAGTACCGAATGATATTAAATTTCTATTTCATTTCAAAATTATATTCAACCACTGTAAATTCCAAATTCAATACAACTCTACAAGAAGTATTTGGCAAGTGCATTTGCCTGGCAATATCAACGTTTTATTGTTATTCTTAAAACTTTTGGTCTTCTCAAACATCTTCTTGCATAGGAATCAGGAATCAGGATCAGTATACACAGTTCAAAATGTCGCCAGAACTTGAAGTTATCGTATGCTATTGTCTAAGATGCGATCTTAAACTTGGTAGCTTCGATAATTCATGGGAAGGTCTCGGGAAGACTTACTACATACCTAAAGTAACAAGAGATGCTACGGGATTCAAAGGAGTTGGTACTATCAAACTAGCCACTGGTTCAGCTCAAGTCGGTACTGTTATTGAGAATAGGTATGTGCCCTTAAAGTTCGGATTTGATATACAATACTCATCCGTCTTAGTTCTCTTCAAGATTTGACTTGCGCAGAATGCCGTGAGGTATTGGGCCTGCAATGTCATAGTGCACCAGAAGGACATTTGTTGAAAAAGTATGGAGAGTTTACAATCATAAGGTAGTAGTTTGCCTGCTAATATCGAATAGAGACCAACTACTTTTATGCGCCAAGAAATTATCAATGGAATCGCAAGAAACAAGGGGAAAGGCAGTTTTAGCTGTCACGAAAACGCATGACTTGAGAAAACCTTCAAACAACTCAAGGTCTGCGTCTAAGAGGCCATCGTCCATATTATCTCATACACCTCGACCCAGTAATATATCTCGTCAGGGTATCGAAGAGCCCTTCACTACAGCAGCATCTTCACCACCGATAATTGGTGATGCGGCTATCATCTTGACCATTGTAGAGCAACGAAAGGATATCGATCGTATTGATGCTGCTGTAGGTCGCTTCGAGAAGGACATGCAGGAGGTTAAATCTTTTATGGAAGATGTACGCCGAGAGATGACCGAAATTCGAAAATCCCACCCTGTCGCTGAAAGTTTCATTGATACCCTTGAAAATGATGTCCTCCACGTGAGAGAGAACGCTAATGAAGTGGTCGATCTTCGTAAGGAGCTTAAAACTCTACGTACTCTTATTAATGATATGAAGGGAGCTTCTTGCGGTTTTCTAACCTCGGGCACACGAGTAGCAACCACTTCTGTACCTTCCGATGAACAGCAACAGCAAAATTCTCAGATGCTAGTGTCTAATGAGGAAGACTCTGGAATAGCTGCATCTAGCAAGACCTCTAGTCGGAAACGCCGATATAACGAAGCTGAATCCGATCAAATAAAAAAAATGGCTACAAAGCTTACCAATCCGCAATACAAACGCAGAAAACAAACGAAAGCTCATCAAGATGAAGATTCGGAACCTCACTCAATTCCTCCGCGTCTCCCAACAGAGGAGCTCACCACTCCGCACTTACAACCTCGCACCCGGTCTCCTATTCTTGGTCGTTATGCCAAGGATGGTGATACTAATCATACTCAACGAGACGGTAATGTTCAGCACATGGAGCAAGATATCGAACTACAGATTCCAGAGTCACCCTCCCAGCGAATCGAAACTGAGATGAACACTCCTGATGAGAGAAACAATAACAAAGAGCATCAACATCTCCAGCCCATCTCACAAGCAGCAACTGAGATCCCCGAATCATCTCAAGAGATATCCCCATCCTCTACCATTTCCCCGATAATTTCGGGTGGGTATCCCCTTACTTCCCATCTACATGTCCCCCAAATTCAATATCAAATCCCATATCCCCAACTTGAAATTTCTAACTCTTCCCCATCAGAACCCACCCGGCAAAACCAAAACCAAGAACCGCGACTTCAACCGCACCCCCCTCGCTCTCGAGGCCGGGGTCGCCCTCGTGGCTCAAAAAACCTTCCACCTCTCGCAACTAGTATCTCAATTGCAACAGGCAGTGAAGATTTATCAACGCCAGGAAGGGCATTAAGGAGGAGGACTATGCCAGTTCCGGACTCAAATTCGGCCGTGAAACCGCTGGTGGGGAAAGTTGCAGGTGACCCACGTACTGAAGAACTATCTACTCCGGGAAGAGCACTACGAAAACGTGACATGCCAGTTCCAGGCTCAAGTTCTGCGCTCGTGATAGAAGTGGCAGGTACGACAAGCAACAACCTGGCGATTGACTTGACGCGTGTGAAGGATACAGAGAGTAGGGAACTTCAGGAAATTGGAGAGAGTCCGATTGCACAAATGCAAGTTCAGATTCCTGTTCAATTTCAAGACCAAGTTCAGGACCATGATTTCGCTGTTGCCGGAGATGTTGGAATGGAAATGGAGGAAATAACTCGGCCTGTAAACCTCATCAGAAGACCCCGGAGAAACACGCGCAGTTCTCGTCACAGACCCTCGGTAGATTTGGACGAGATTTTTACCTTGAAATTGAAGACTACTGGTACTGCTGATGTTGATACTGATGCTGATGCTGATGCTGATGCTGCAGACGATCATTTCATGATCGAGCAACAAACTAAACCAGATCGAAGATGTACGGGTGGGTTTAGGAGAATGCCGATGCCTGCAGATGAGAATGAGAATGAGAATGAGAATTATATTGAGAAGGAAAAGAGGGAAAAGATGTATCAAAAGGAGAGGGAACAGGAACAAGAACAAGAAGGAGAAGAAGAAGAAGAACAAGAAGAAGCAGCAGCAGCAGCGAAAAAACCCCCCCAAGAAGGAGAAAGAAAAAGGAGAAAAAGTACACGAAAGCAAGAATTGGAGAGGAGGGAGGAATTGGTTAAGGAGGTGTTGGAGAGGGGGTATTGAAATTGAAGGAGTGAGGAGCCTGAGGAACAAGTGAGGATATCTAATTTATCTAGTTCATTACTCGAGTAGATTAGGAGAGATAAGATAAAAGTAAGGAAGGGGTTTTGAGGCTACGGTTCAGGAGGGATTTGAAAGGGATTGTTGGATTGAGAGAGGGATTGAGAGAGGGGGCTAAGGTTTAAAGGTTAAAGGTTACAGGTTAAGGGCTTATGTAAAGCTTGTTTATTATTATTCTGGCTTTTGTATTTAGAGTTTTATATGTTGATATGATGTGAATGTGAATGTTGTATGATATAGTATGATATGGTGCAAATGTATCGATTATGATACGAGTAAATCAAGTTAAGTGCTCGAGTCTCGAGTAGGTTGGGTGGTTGGCTGGGTAAGGTTGGTTAGGTGAGAGTTGAATTTTGTATTATCGTTTCCCCTATCCCCTATCATATCCTATGCTATCCCCCATAGCCTCATAACGTAACATAACGCAACACACACATATCGATCGATCCTAAAAAAAATTTGAAATATTTTCCTATCCACGAGGCTAGGTGATCTTTTCTTTTATTTATTTTTTGCAAATCCCCTTAATCCTTTTATCCCATCCTGACACTTGACACCTGACATCTACCTGACTGACATACCTAATCATATCCCGACCACCAACCTCCAAACGCTATTATTTTCCCCATCCATTTCTCACGCAGTACCAGCCATAGCACCGTCCCTCGCAACCCCCACCACATTCCACACCCAGCCCGCCAAATTCCTCAATCCTACCCCCAATCTCTCCACATAAACAACTCCTGTGCCATTTTTCCCCCTTCCCCAATCTCTCAACGCTGCCCCCACCTTTCCATCCTCTCTCTTACACTGAATGTCCTCCACATCCCTAATATCCAGCTCCAGCCCCCTCATCACCGCACTATCTTCCCCCCAACACTTATTGCCCACTTCTCTCAGGACATACAACACCATCTGACACGCGCTTACCCAATCCATTTCAAACAGGACCGCGATTGGGATGCCGTGTTGTATCGCAAATCTCCTGAGAATATCCGGATCATAGCTTGCTAGAAATTTGAGCAGGCGTTGGAGTGCTAGGAGCCGTGTTACTCGTTGGGGATGATATGGACTTGGGTGATTGATTGGATCTGCGTGACGGATCAAGTACATGAGGATGATAAGAGCGGAGATATACTCTGCTTTGTCGAGATAAATAAGATACATCTCAGTGAGAACCATGGGTAGAGGTTGTTGCGCATAACGCTGCAAGAGGATGAAATCGTTTAGATTTCCAATTGCCTTCATCAGAAAATCGAGACGTCGGTCGATATTCTGGTGGGTTTTATGGGCGTTTTTAATCGTGGCCTCGATATGGCGCAGGACATGGAGTAAGGAGAAGAGCCGGGTGACAGTGCTTGGATCTTCTTCGGTTACTCGAGCCTTTGCGAAGTTATAAGTTGCTTGATATGGGACGAGCTTGTCAAATTTAGGGGTTGAGATGGTGGGATAACGCATAAACTCGTCATATATACTCCGAAAAATGGTACAACGAGCACAGCGGCATTTGAAATACCAAGTCTCTGCTAATGTCGCTTGACGGACTTCTTGTCGTTGTGTTTCGTCAATATAGGAAATGAAGATTTGTTCTCCCTTGACGATGGGAGACAGGGCTCGGAGGGTGCAACGCTTTCCATCGAATGTTATGGCTGCGTTTGGATGACAACGGTGGTTAGCGCGTGCTAATAGGGGATCGAGGCAAAGTCCAATTGGGCCATTGCCGATATTAGACTCGACGCGAAACGCATTGGTGGAGAGCTATGGATATTTGTTAGCAAGGTTACAGAATCAGAGGTAGTAGAGTAGAGTGATTTACCCGACAGAGAGATTCCAGAGCATACTTGACGTATTCTGGCTTCCATTTGAGAAGGCTTGTTACGGCATGTGCCTGTAGCAAAATGTCATCCCACTTTGACTGGCTCTTCCTAAGCTCATCTTCTTGGGATGATAGCTCCATAAATGCCGAGTCTTTTGCAAGGGTTTTTGGATGGCTAATCAATTGGATCGTGGCGCGCACAGCTGTAGGAAGTATCTTGTTCAAAGTAAAACCAAGATTTTGCGACTGGATATCCTTGCATTGTTGCTCATGGAACGAGCGGTCCTTATCTTCGCATTTCTTGTCGCAGTAATTGAGTGCCTTGCAGCCAATACAACTTATGGTTGTTTTTCTCGACTGACATTTTGAATATCCACAAGCAGTATTTGTTGTTGCTTGAGCACTAATTTGAGCTCGAGAGTGCTCCAATGGCTTTTGTGACTTTAAAAATGCACACTCTGATTTGTGTGATCCTTCTGATCTTAACGATGACTTCTCACAAGCATTAGAACAGAATCTGACAACACCACAACTCGAACAAGGCTCAAGGTCGATTCCTTCTCCTCCTTCAATAAAACAATTGGCGCATACTCGATGTAGTGCCTGGTTCTCGGCAATCAACAAAAGGGGTTTGTGAATAATAATTATAGGATCCCCAGGATTTAGATCCAGTGTGGAAAAGAGACCATTACCCAATTTTTCGGCTGTACCAATTTTTGTATTGTTTACATCCATTTGACTTGATAATCCTTGGGGAAGATGATGGTGATGGTGATGATTTACAATTCTTGATGCACTTGGACGTGGTGCTTTAACCACAATGGTGGAAGTTTGCTGACCCATTTTCTTGGTGCTTCCGATCTAATCCCGGTAATTGCATACATAAAGAAGGATCCATCTCCTTTCCTTCCCCCTTGGGAGGTTCTTCACATTGTCCAAATATATACCGGTATTCTGTTGTTGTTTTGATTCACCAGACAATAAAAGAATTACAGTATGTGAATATTGAAAGTCGAAGGACAATACTTGTATTGTTTGATTACTTATATAACAAAATAAAATATGTAATGATTGAATGGTTGACTACAACAAGACAATATAGGTGGTGTGTTGTAGGTTTCTACTCCAGTAGAATACCTCAAAAGACATTCTGAGCATCTGAAGTCCTTCAATTCATCAAGGAAGTGATACAATAATTGAAGTTGGGATTGAAATGTCCCAGAGTTAGTTTAGAGATTAGGTAATCAGACCTTTTCTGATAGAAAACTTTCTGGATATTACTATCATCCTATTTGTATTGAGACTCATCTTCTCCTTCACTAGTTTGAGAGGAATTCGGTATTGTTTAGACAGAGTACTTGATAGCTACCTCTTCTAAACCAATCCATTTTCCTTTATGGGTATCTGCTATACAGACTTGACTTCATGCATGCAGCTGAAAAAGATGAAGAAATGCTTGGAAGCCGAAAATTGTGTGATGCTTTTGAATGAGTTTAATAAAGTCCATTTGTTCCATTAGCCTGTTTGTAAACTAATCTAGCGAAGTACTTCCTTCATCAGCCTTTTTGTGTATTAGCACTAACTGTATGAACGTGCTACCTAAATCCAATACAATTTACTCACTTGGATTGAAGATTTGATTTACCTGTTATATTTAAAGCAAGAACTGGCAATGTAGTGGTACCAGTATTTAGTTGTTGCCCTTTCATGGTGGGGTGTATTGGCCGTAGTAATAGGTAACCTCATGATTTCGATAGTACACTCGAGTAGAGCAGGACTCATCATATCATAGCAGGAGCTACAAGACTTTATCTTCGTTAGTTTTTATAGCTTTTATAACAAAACCTAGAAGGATCATAACTAACTATAATTAGACTTGAGGTTTGGGAAGGTAATTAGACTATAAAACTTAAAACTCGAGCTTCTCAGTATATATAATAATACAGATCTGGACCATGTAGCTAGCTTGGAATTATGCCAACATTATCCAGATAGATTAGATCAGATTATAGGTATATATAAGATGATGGTAATAAGATCAAAGTGAGGGAAACAGTTTGCAAATAAAGGAATCAAGTTTAGTAAAATATTAATAGAAGAGATAACTCGAGTATATTATATTGTGCTAGTGGACTATTACAGATGTCACAGCTTATACTCGAGTGAAAAGATACAGTATATGAATATCTAAACAGATTTAATATGAAAGACGTTATTCTATATCTAGATTATTTCCTTTCTTTCTACTCGAGTAGTTTAGTTACTATAGATATACTAATAGATTATTTCCAGTTTAGTTACTGTACATATCTTATCTACGGTACTTATTTACCTGGTAATGTGAGAGGCGGGCATTGCGGAGTACAGTATTTGATCATTGATCAATCCTAAAGAAAAAGAGCTATGCTTTAAATGGACTAACGTAACGCTAAACTTATCTTGGACAAGTCTATCGAAGGAACAAAATTCGAAATAATTTTTGGCAATCCATCAAATTTATCTTCATATCAATCATCTTTTTTTTTTGCCCCTCCCCAATTGATAGAAATCTTTCCCAAGTCGATTTCTTTCTAAAAGCCCGCAGATATGTAAGTTTGAATCCAATCCTATTGTTTATCATTGTTTATGTTCTCAAACTAATAATTGCTTCAAGGCATTTCGTCCGTCGTGCTGCTCTCCGAGCTGCTTCCTCCACCTCTTTCGTTTCTAGACCTCGCACCATCAACGCTCCATCCCCATTCGTTCTCAAGGCCTCAAATGAAAGAATTTCATCAGTAGTCTTTAGAAGATATGCAAGTGATGATGCACATGTCAGAGACGAAGAACACGAGAACGTAGACGCACAAGAGGAAGGAACTGTTAAATCAGCTATCAATTCCGCCACCGAAACCGTCTCAGAGTATGCCGCTGAGGCTAAAAACACCGTCGCTGAGGCAACTGGCTTTGGATCCAACAGCGGTGGCTTTGCAGACCGTGGCTTTGGAGGCGGTGGTGACCGAGATTTGCGTCCCGAAATTGAGCCTAACAATGGAGTCTACATTGGTAACTTGTTGTTCGACATTACCGAAGAAGACCTCAAAAAAGAATTTGCGCCTTTCGGAACCATTACAGATGTCCGAGTAACCAGAGACGCGAGAGGTTTGAGTAAAGGGTAGGCGCACCATTTCTTGGCCTTATTTGCAGTTCACATCTAACAACTTTTTTCAGATTTGCCTACGTTGACTTCGTCGATGTTCAATCCGCCACCTCTGCCATTGAAGCCAAGAACCAGACCATCTTCGAAGGTCGTCGACTTATTGTCAACTACGTCAACCAGACACCAAAGATCAGAGATCAGAACCCACCTTCCAAGTGTCTTTTCATTGGAAACCTCGCCTTCGAGATGTCTGATGCTGATTTGAACAGCTTGTTCCGTGATGTCAGAAATGTCATTGATGTCCGTGTTGCTATTGATAGACGCACTGGACAGCCAAGAGGTTTCGCTCACGCAGACTTCGTTGACGTTGATAGCGCCATCAAGGGTCTTGAGCAATTGCAAGGCAAAGAAGTCTTCAACCGAAAATTGAGAGTCGATTACAGTGTTGGCGAGAAGTCCGCCGGCGGTGACCGTTCAGGTGGTGACCGTGGCTTCGGTGGCCGTGGTGGTGGTGGTGATCGTGGAGGATACGGTGGCGGCCGTGGTGGTGGTGGTGGAGGACGTGGAGGATACGGTGGCGACCGTGGAGGTGACCGTGGAGGTGACCGTGGAGGATACGGTGGTAACCGTGGTGGCGACCGTGGAGGTGATCGTGGAGGTGACCGTGGAGGATACGGTGGCTCAAGACCATCATTCTAAGGAGGATGTTGAATCTTTGGGGTTTATGCCTACTAACGGGACGAATCAATTAACGAATGATCGAATGAATACTTTGTATGAAGGATTTGGGTAGGCGTTATTCATCTATTAGAGGTGAATGGGAAGCCTCAAAAGTTGCTGAATCTCTTAGGCTGCTTTACTTTCATAGATGCTTCCTTTCCTTTCATCTTGTATCAAAACCCATCGGAAGTTTAGTCGGTTGTAATTATAAGGGTTGTGATCTGATCAGGTGTAACAACTTGAAGATCCGGATTCGCGGTCAAAAAAAGAATCAAAATTCCACTCAGTGCATCATAAAGAGCAGAGCGTAGTCCTTTTGTCTAAATGTACAATATTAAGTTCATAGATTGCAAATCAAATATCTATCTAAATCATATCAAATCCTTATATTCTCATACTTCATATATGTATATCTCTCCTTTCTCAATTGTATATACAATGATAGCTTGAGCGTAATTCTTTTGTCTATATATACAATATTTAAAAAAAAAACATTGAAAAACATGTGACTTGGCTTATGTAAACCTCTTTCTCAACCGAGGTGCTCCGATTGAATTTCTAATGATACCCACTTAACATAAGTTCATCCATGTTCCCCATGTTATTCTCGTCCTCCATTATCCACCCAAGCTATCTATCTTTCAGTTATTACAATTTACAACATTAAATAAACTTCTATAATAATCACAAAAGGTTCATCATTCTTTCTTGTACAACATATTCTCGCTTATTTGCATTTCTAGCAGGAGTTATCTTTGAAAATCACTAACAAAGTGACAACGCAAACGGCAAAGTTCGAATACATCCATTTGGAGCTACAGAAGATACAAACCGAACTTTCGTCAGCCATGTCATTCATGGGCGGAGCAGAATGCTCGACAGCAGGAAATCCTCTTAGTCAATTTACAAAACATGTGCAGGATGACAAGAGTTTGCAGAGAGATAGATTAGTTGGTAGGGCGCCAGGAGGCGGTATGCAGGGCATGCGCTCCGGGATGAATATGAATGGAAGTCAAGATCATGTAGGTAGTCTGGGACAGTACATCTCAGCAAACATGGTTGTACCTCGAAGATGCCACTCACTAATTCGCAAGCTGGCAGATGATGAACGATTTTATACAACAAAACGGCCAGCTCCCACCAGAAGCTTTCGCTATGCAACATGATCTTCATCAAAACGCACACATGGGAAATGGATCTCAATCTCCAAGTGTTGGAGGATGGGCTCAGGAGTTCAACCCTGGGATGTCAGGAATGTCAGAGCAGGTAAGGATGGAGGCAGCGTTTCAAGCTCCTAAAGGTACAGCATTTAGCCCTGCGGATTTTGCTCGATTTCAACAGATGGGACAATCGAGCTCGGCACGCTCTGCGAGTCCTATGGCGCAAAATATGTCGAATGCCTATTCATTTCAAGGCCCCCAAATGGGTACGGGTATGGGCATGGGCATGGGAATGATGGGAATGAATAGAATGGGTATGGGCATGAATGCGATGAACCAACCACAGCACCAACAACCGGCCCAGAATTTACAGCAGGACAAAGGGAAAGGAAAGATGATTGAGCTCGATGATCAGAATTGGGAAGAGCAATTCAAACAGATTGATCTGCAGGGACAGGAGCTCGAAGAAAGTTTGGCGGTGGAAAGAGAATTAAATGAAATGGATAGGTCAGTCCTTGAATCCGAAACCAATGAATTTGGTGATTTTGAATCTATTTGGGTTGGCATTCAAGCTGAAAATGCGGCTGCTAGGGAAATGGCTGGTGAAGAAAGCCTCAACGATATGAACATAGGCGAATTCGATCAATGGGATGGATTTGATGCTGTAGGAACACATCAATCACCATTCCGCGATCCACAGCTCGGAAGCTACATGTTTGAAGATGATAATATCTTCAAGGACATTGCCAATCCTTTCGAGGAGGGTGTTCGGATAATGCATGAGGGAGGTAACTTGTCTCTTGCTGCATTAGCTTTCGAAGCTGCAGTACAAAAAGACCCCCAACATGTCGATGCATGGGTTCTCTTAGGGTCAGCACAGGCCCAGAATGAAAAAGAAACACCCGCTATTCGGGCTTTAGAGCAAGCTCTGAAAGTTGATCCCACAAATCTGACAGCTCTTATGGGTCTGGCAGTCTCTTACACGAACGAAGGCTACGATAGTACTGCTTACCGTACACTTGAGCGTTGGCTTTCGGTTAAATACCCATCTATCATTCCTCCAGGCTCCCTATCCTCGGAGAATGATATCGGCTTCACCGACCGACATCAACTTCATGAAAAGGTTACCGACCTGTTCATTCGTGCTGCTCAACTTTCACCAGATGGCGAACACATGGATCCAGACGTACAGGTCGGTCTCGGCGTCCTTTTCTACGGTGCCGAAGAATACGACAAAGCAGTCGATTGTTTTACCGCTTCTCTCGCCTCGACTGAATCCGGAACCTCAAATCAAAGAGATCAAGTTCATCTTTTATGGAATCGTCTCGGTGCCACCCTCGCCAATTCCGGTCGCAGCGAAGAAGCCATCGCCGCATACGAACAAGCCCTTACCCTACGCACCAATTTTGTGCGAGCTCGCTACAATCTTGGCGTTTCTTGCATCAATATTGGGTGTTATGATGAAGCTGCCTCTCATCTTTTAGGTGCCTTGGCTATGCATAAGATTGTCGAAAATGAAGGGAGGGAAAAGGCAAGAGATGTACTTGGTGGTGGAAGTGTCAGTGAAGCGGATCTTGAAAGAATGATCTCGCAAAATCAGAGCACGAATTTATATGATACTTTGAGAAGGGTATTTAGTCAAATGGGGAGGAGAGATTTGGCGGAACGCGTGGTGGCGGGTATGGATGTGGAGAATTTCAGGGGGGATTTTGATTTTTGATGGGAGGTGGATTGAATGACTGACTGAGTGACTGAGTGACTGAGTACGGCATGGAGCATGAGTAGATTTACATGGATAGATGAGTTAATTTAGGAGCGGCATATGTTGAGGAAAAACATGGGGCAGTATGTAGTTAGTGGTGTTACACTGACCATGGCATACATATGTGAACGTGGGGAGGAAGGAAGCATATTTGAAGTAATCTTTGAGTCGGTTGAGGGGTCCTTGAATTCAATTCATGAACATGTATGTAATTGAAACTGAAATTGGAATCGGAATGGCAATGGGAATAGGAATAGGAATAGGAATTGAAATAAGAATGGATGGCTGGCTATCGAATACATACATCTATTTACTTGGTTCTATTATGATATAATATGATAGGATATGATATGATCTCCAGTCCGTATTATATCTTTGTATTGTATTCTTAAAAGCTAGGGACTTGGAAGTAAGGGGGATAGAAGAATTGGGAGGGGTTCAGGGGTCATTTGAGAAGGATGAAGAGGGGCAAAGATGGTGTGGGTGTGAGTGTGAGTGAGTTATGTAAATCTGGAAGAGGGTGTATAGAGCTCGAGGGTGTATGTAAGATCTTATATCTGAGATGGAAGAAGGGAGAAGGAAGAAGGGAGAAGGAGGATGGAGGAAGGAATTAATACCCGTATAATATAATGTAAATATAATGTAATGAATGAATGCAGAGAAACCTCCTAACAATGAGTTTCAAAATACCGATGGGAATACTGCGGTAGTATAGTGTGGGTGTCATGATTGATTTTTATATATATATATGTATATGTATGTGGACTCGGATAATCAAAGATGATTTTGTATAGAGTAGAGAGGATCTTGGAAATGGAATGGGATGCGGTTTCGATGATGAATATATATGCTTGTACTGGGGTACCGGTATATTTGAAGTGAACATTAGTTTAGAGATGGAGGGATCTGTGATGATGTGATGAATAAGATGTTTTTAAGGGGAATGAAGAGTAAGAGTAAAAGTAAGACTAAGAGTAAGATTACAGTAGGAATTAAAATTTTATTATTAATTCGTCTTCATTTTGTGATGCTAGGTGTGGTGTTTCTGATATGGAAGTTGGAAGTTGGAAGTTAGATATGAAGAATTTTGAATTTTGGAATTTTGAAGGAGGAGAAGGTCTCAGGGGAGGGGTCTGATTTGAAAAAGTAGTTATATACACAGTATTAAAATGCTGCTACTGTACTCGTATCGTAGACCATTATCCAATTTCGAGAAATTACGAAATTTCATGAGGAAAGTAGCGAGTTGGTCTGCGTACTCGAGTAGATGAACTATGCCTGTGCCTATGCCTATGCCGGCTGCGATGATTAAAGTTGAATTAGGAATCCTTCTCCACACAGTACAGTATGAGAAGACGAAGACGTAATCTTATATACCAAGGAAACAACAGCATTCATAGCCAAATTAAATTACATTCCAACCCCCAGCTCAACTCAACCCTAGAATCTTGACCATTCTTGCTTTTGAAATCTCCTCGTCTTCTGATTAACACAGCTCGTAATAAAACCAAACCAAACCCTATGCCACGAAAATAATCTCAGTGGTGATGAACATAGAAGCTACAGCTACAGCTACAGCTACCAATCTAGTCTCTGAAAATTCATCCTGATATCTTGAAGGAGAGTCTTTGGTAGAAAAGAAGGCTATGATCCTTAAGAATACATAATACTATTCAAGTTATTTCGTGAAGGGAGATATGATGGATCATCATTGTAATATGGGACTCACATACTACTCGGTGTTATCAAACGTATAAGTTTTATGACGGTGCCGCGAAAGCAAAGCAAAGACATACCTGCGCCACCTGAAACCCGATGAAAGAGGTAGGTATGGCACATGCAAACAAAGATAGTATATATTCCGTGATCCAAAACCTCGTACTAATGAGCACTTTTAAAGATTGGCCAAAACGACAATTTGTGCAGTGCAAGTGGTGCGAATATGCCACATCCAATATTTCATTCAACCTGCCAATCCCCTCTCCCTTCTTCCCCTTTCTTGATTCCAATTCCACATCAACACCCTTACATCTCTATTCCTTCACCCCCCAAATGTTGGTAAACTCAAATACTTATCGTAGAAGAATGCAAGTCTCTAGTTATCTGTAATCTATATATGCCAGTTCCAGTACTGCAAGATAAGAATCTTATCACATGCTACATATGCTGCACGATCTCCATATTATATGATCAGAACAACTCGTTAACCCCTCAATATCTCGCTTGGGAAAGGGGGTATACGATACCGATAATTAAAACAATTGCCAAAGCAAGGTATAATTGAAGACTGAGGATACACACACACACTCATCTTACTCGTGTATTGTATAAAACACGATTGAGCACTTTGAGTTGACATCATCCAATTGAACTGGTGGGTTGTGGTATTTTCTCACCACAAACTAATACAGTAATTGGGAATTTGCCATGGAATTTGTACAGGATGAAGAGAGAGCATTATCATCTTTCGAGAATACGAAGAGTTTTCGCAATACTTCATATTAGTTTGTGCATCTAATTTTCTAGAGATAGTGTACACTGATACTACTATTGGCTATCGCATCGTTCAAATATTAGGAATATCACTTCATCGATTTGTCACGCCTAATAGGTGAAATCGACCTTCCAATTCACGTTACAGAATAATGTTCAACATAAACTTCCTTATACGCTGAGGAATTTAATTCTTGCACATGGAAATATACAAAAAACGAATATCTATACATCGCTAAAGCTCCACGCTGAATTGTCGAGAACAAGCGACTCCTTGCTCCCATTGTAAAAAATCTGCGACGACGCAATTAGTACCGCGTTACTGAAAGAAGACATCGGACGATTCGGACCTACCTTAGTAACGAACATCTTACCGCTTAAATCCGTAAATTTGTAGTATACCCAGAGGCCTTTTCGATATTAGCCATCGGGCTATGTATACTTCCCAACAATAAATAAGAAACATACTATGGAATTTCGTAATGAGTCGATCGATAGGAACTTTATACTCCCAAAGAATATGAATGGTGTCGTTACATTGCTGCCGAATGACTGCAGGTTTCTCTTGCGAAGCTGTCTCGGGATAGCAAATCTTAATCATATCGAGAACGTTCAATGACGTCAAAGAGAATCCTGGTGTGTGAAATTTGACTATGCATAGATCGTCCGGGTCTCCATTACTCTTTGAAGATTTGGTATTTTCACATGCATGGATGGCATGTTGGGCCAAATTGACCAGCGATGTGTTCATTCCTTGAGTCTTGCTACTTTTGACTTCCTCTGGTTGGTGCAATGTTCTGGGTAGGTCTTCCGTTGTACTATTGACTTCTGGGGTTGTGTCTTGAGGATGAAAAAGGTGCCTATCATCTCCGCTAGATCGATGATCGTTCAAATCTACAGCGGCTTCTTCAATCGGTCCAGTGAGGAGCATACTCGTGTTCGTGGGAGAAAGAGACAGTTCTGCTTGATCACCATCACTCCCCTTTTCATTAAATTTGAATTCCCATGAATTGAACATTACCTGGTATCTGTTTGAAGGGTTATACACATTGGGCCTGGGTAGAACATTTGCGGGAATTTTGGGCCAAGGTAGAATATCTGCGTTGAGGCCTGAACTGCACTTTTGGGATGATGTTTTGTTTATTTTTTCCAGTAGCTCGTCAGAGCAATCAACAAGAAAGAGTTCTTCCTCCTTTTGAGAGAACGGTTGGCTAATGTCATTAACGAGGATGGGTCTTTTGGGGAGATAGTGGCGAGGGCGGGTGATATTTAGGAGCAGAGGGTAATTTTCGAGTGAAAATGAGATCGGGGACTCCTCAAGGTTCGCCAACGGATGCTCTTCACCCTCCGAGCTCATAATGGCCGTGTCAATTTCCTCAACTCGGTTTGAATTTCTTCGCAGTTCGTTCAACTTCTTGATCACCTTCGGTACCGTATTGAGGATGTTCGGCAGCTGCTCTTTTTCTCGATTGTTGGCCGCTATTTTCAGAAGGTTTGTAAGAAATAATGGCGACATAGCTCACCCAAGTTCCACCCTCACTCCTGTAGTTAGCGATCGGTTTTGTGTCCAAGATCTGAACACGGCTACCTCTAGGAATGACGGGCAATGACTCGAGTGCTGTATCATCTGTGACTTGACTGCCTGCAGACGTTGGACGCGTGGAGGAATTCTGTTCCGCGGGCTGTGAGTTGGTAAATCGGCTGGATGATGATGATGATGACGATGATGAATGGTGTGTATACTGGAGCTGTCGAGTTAAGGTTTGACGAACTTGGGCACTTGTAGCGTCACGCCTTTCAAGACTCCCGTCTGTGGGGATGCTGCCACTTCCAGAACGACTATTGTATTGTCCTGGACCGTTCCGGGTTTCTGGGTCTGTAGTACCTTCAGAATCGCTGGGTTGAGGGTTGTTGATATCTGCAGAATATCGATGGTGATCGTGTTGCGAATCACTGGACTGGCCTTCGTATTTCATTGGGAATATGCTGGTTGAAGGAAAGTTGGAATAAAATAATACGTGCTTATAGATGAATGTTGCTGTTTGATGATTAGAACAAAATCAGGGTATGTTAATACGTTCTTGTGAATAAAACCTGTTGGCTGGAGTAATAATCGTAGAAGAAATGCAGAAATGAAGAAATGAAGAAATGAGAAATGCTTGTCATGAGTGTAAACAGTAAAACGACCTCCGATCTTCATTTGGCTCAAGAAAGAGCCGCTTGACTCTTAATGACAATTTAAAATAGAATCATTAGCCTGTGAGTGTACTGCTCTTTCCTGGGACAATTAAAGGCCAAAGGACACCGAAGAAAATGACTCGGTAAGAATGATCGCATCACCACTTCCTCCAGAGTAATTTTCAAATTCAGAACATGCAAGATATCAACAAGCCACTATGAAGTTAAATGTAATGTTTGTATTCAGATTGGGTATCGCCTGCTAGCCTATTTGCAATCAGCAAAATATAGCCGCAACTGACTATGAGACTAAAGTTCGTGCTAGTGTATCCTAGCCATTGACGGATCTTGTTACTCAAGAGGTATGATTATGATATCAAATGTCCCACTAACAATCGTTTGATGAATGCAAATCGCTAATCCGTATCACAACTGAAGCGCGAGATATACACGATATCTGAGACCGGCATATTTGATCAGGTAGAATCATCGTTCATGCTTGCGGTCCGCATTAGCACAACTACTCCTTGTCGCTCTTTCCTCTCCATCCTCTGGTAGGAGTTTCTCCTTGCTTAGATTGAGCGCTGGACAGACTGGGCTTGACTCTGATCTTTCCACCCCATTTCTCAGACCAATCCAGGTTGACAATAGCTCCATCAGCTTCTTGACCATCTTGTAGTTCAACGAAGCAGAAATGGCTGTTGCCCTCTCTTGGCTCTCGTGGAGAGCACAACTTGCTGACCCACTTGACATTGTACTCGCTGAAGAGCTCTTTGATCTCTGCTTCAGTCGCTGACTCATCGCCGAAATCTGGCAAACCACCAACATAGATTCTCTGTTTTTCAACGACCTTGCCCGAGACTCCTCCTGATGCACGACTGACTTTGAGACCCCACTCATTGCCATCAAACATCTTAACTGCGTCGTTGACTTGGGTATTGTTGGCAAGGTCAACGAAACAGTAGTAGTGGTTACCACCTTCCTCAACCTTTGAAGGGTGTGGAGAGATCAACTTGCTAACAACTTCAACATCAAATCCTTCGAAAATTTCTCGGATCTTGCGGTTTGCTGTTTCTTGATCATCAATTCTTGGCAATCCTCCAACGTAAAGTCTTCGACCATCCTGGGAAGAAGTGTCTACTTGACGTTGAGAAGTCTCAGAGTTCTTCCAGCGGTCGTTTGATGGAATGGGAGACTCCGATGATGATGCCTGTGGACGAGAGGTGCCTGTGTTGTGTTAGCGGGAGTTCTATAGACCTGCTGCATGAATCTGACGGCAGGTGAAGTCAAAATGCTTGTAGATTCACTCACGGTCTGATCTTACACCAGGCTTGACTCTGAGTGTACGGTTTTTGAACTCTTGACCATCGTAGCGATTCAAAGCCTCATCAGCCATATCTTTGGTGGTGAAAGTAACGAAGCAGTATCCGGGGTTTCGCTTGGTCATGGAATCGATGGACATATGGACAATTCGAGATTCACGTGGAACATCTTGGAAAATGACTTCAATATCCTCGGAAGTGGTGTCATAGCTTAAGTTGCCAACATAGATGCGGCGACCTTCCTCAATGGCCTTGTCCGACTCTGTGAGTTGTGAAGATTTTCTTGGCGAGTCAGGTGTCTCGTTTCGAGAAAATCTCCCCTGGACCTGGCTTGGACGATCGCCACCATCTCTACCACCAATTTGTCCACCTCCACGAGTTTTTGAAGCAGACCAAGGAGAAACTCGCTCTTCGCCAGTTGGACTTTGAGGAGGATCTTGTTTGACGCGCCAGTTGTTGGAGAACATATTGACGTTTTGATAATTGAGATTGTTGAGTTTGGAATGAAAATCAAACTTGTTGGATTTGAAATTTAAAGAGAGAAAAACTTCACGGTCTATGAATATCAAGTATTTCAAGAATTGGAGTTGAAGTTGAGAAATTCTTCTTGATTGAATTTTCAAGATGCGAATCAAAATTTTCCGAGCAAACAACCTAGAAGAGGAAGTATGGCACGTGATTCCATACAGTTTACTTTTCGTTTATCGAGACCGCCCGGCAGTATTAAATTTTTCGATAATCTTTATCGAACACCCCGCCATGACAATTGTATCCGCGTTACATAGAGAAATCAGAGGCAACACGATCAGAGAGATTTAAAAATGGCCACAAATACTACCAAATCTATACATACTCTTATTATTGACGCAGGGCCAATCATCAAGAATGATCCCTCAGTCTCTACACTTCTTGGCCAAGCAGAAAATCTCTACACTATCCCCCTCGTTATCGACGAAATTAAAGATGCCGTCACAAAAACCAGATTCGAAACCACCCTGTTACCTTTCCTCAAATTAAGAGCGCCGAGATCAGCTAGCATCAAGGTCATAACAGAGTTCGCGCGAAAGACGGGAGATTTGGAAGTACTCAGCAGACAAGATATCCATTTGATGGCCTTGGCTTATGAGCTTGAATGCGAACGAAACCATGGAGATTGGAGATTACGAAGTGTGCCAGGACAAAAGAGGTTAAACGGACCCCCTCCTGCATCATTAAGTGGAGAGAAGCCTGTCGATACCACCGAGATCAAGCAAACGAACGAGGACATCAATACGTCTGCGCCTGAGAACGTCATAAGTCATCCAATGCTCGAAGATTCGACTGAAATCGTCGAGCACCCAGTAGCTTTGAAGGAACCAAACCTCGAAACCAAAGGCGCATGGGGAACATCCATAGTTCGCCCAACCGAAGAATCCAACGTCGAGACAGAACCTCTTGAAAAGGCACTAGAATCTACTCATATATCCACCACTGAGGAACCAGAGAACACGGAGAATCCAGCAGCAGAAGAAGTATCCACAGAAGACCAGACTCAAGAACCAATCGAGTCTGAAGTGACACCGGAAAGCGCCCTCGATTCATCGAATATAGAAGAAGTAGCCGCGTCCGAATCCGAAGCCGAAGACGACGGCGAAGGATGGATCACGCCCTCCAACCTCAAGAAACACCAACAAAAAGACGGAAACGGCACCTTCGAGCCCCAAGAAGAACAAAAAGCCATCCAAGTCGCAACCATCACCACCGATTTCGCCATGCAAAACGTCATGCTGCGCATGAACCTCAACCTTCTCTCCTCCTCTCTGCAACGAATCCGCCAACTCAAGACCTGGGTCCTGAGATGCCACGCCTGTTTTAGCATCACCCGAGACATGACGAAGCAATTCTGCGCGCGGTGCGGCAAACCTACTTTACTCCGAACCTCGTGTTCGACGGACAAGGATGGAAATGTCAAGGTCCATCTCAAGAAGAACATGCAATGGAACAACCGAGGAAACGTATACAGTGTGCCTAAGCCTGTTGCCGGAACCGCCAACGGAAAGAATATCAAGGGTGGTGGTAAGGGAGGATGGGGAAATGAGTTGATATTAGCCGAAGATCAAAAGGAATATACGAGAGAAATGGCCACTACAAAGAGAAAGAAGGACAAGGATCTCATGGATGAAGATTATCTACCCAGTATTTTGACTGGAGACCGTGGCAGAGCAGGTGGTAGACCAAAAGTTGGAGCGGGCAAGAATGTTAATTCCAAGAGACGAAATTAGAATAGAAGTAAAAGTAATTCAAAATAGAAGCCCAAAAAAATTGATCCAAATACTTGTCTCTTTGAGAATCCGAGCTTGTTTTTGAAATTGTGATGTGATATTCCTCGCTGTGGTAAAGTTTCTGCAAAGCAGAAGAAAGAAGTAGGTATTTGCAAGCAATGCCACCCTCCCCACTACAAGCCCAATATCCATTCTCTCACGACATCTCATTCTCAAACAACAAGAACCGATAGATGTAAGAATCCCTCGTCCAGAACGCCAGTATACTCCGCACATTCCATTTCACCCACTACCTAGGTAGATGCACTTCATCGCGGCTAGATATATTCAACCTTGCCTTTTTGCACACAAAATTTGATGATTGGCACTGCATGCAATGCGCATATATCAATTCCTCTCTCCCACTCGTCGCCAATCCTTCCATCTTTCTATTCCATGTCGATATATATCTATTGGCCTAAGACTTTGAGATCCTCTATTTGTGCACATATGTATTAGCAATCACTCAATTGAGATCATCCCTTTCCTCTTCTCTCTTCTCTCTTATCCCCTCTCTCTACCCCCTTTCCCTCATCTCCCCTCCCCTCTCACAACCTCTCTCCTCCCATAACCCCGCAACTCCAAACTTTAAAAAAGAACAAAACTCACTCTGCTGAATCAAAAGCAATCCATATCTCTTCTTCAAGGTAACGCGATGACGCGAGTACTTATCATCCGGGCTGAAACGAGCCGGATGCGCACTCTTGGTCACCTCACCACTGATAACTTTCTGGAGAGTGTAGGCGCGCTTGCCGGCGGCATCAACCGTGTACATGAGATGCATTTTGTCGGGGGGTTTGGGGGATGGGACGGGTGGGTGGTGGTGAGAAGATGTGTAGGAAATCAAAGTCTAGAAAAAAATATCACAACGTTAGCGCACCAGGGACGAATAGGACAAAGATGTTCGCAATAAACAGTCGACAATCGACGGTCGACATCAATTGGATTGGATTGGACTGAGAGCAATTGAGGGACACACATACCGAATTGAGACTTGAGGGATGAAGGCAAAGTCGTGTAGGTTGTGTCGTTCGTTGAAGGTTGGTGGTCGGAAAGCTTTGGTGGATAAATTTCTTGACGAACTTTTTTTTGGGGGGTCGGAACTGATTGATTGTGGGGGTGGATTTAGCTGATTTGAAGCACGTGATTTGGACTATCGTTGTCCAGCATTCGCGGAGAGAATCAGAGTTGCTGTCATGTCCTGATCATGATTTTATTGGGATGATCTAATCACATTGACAAGAATTTATGTAATTGTATAATCTCATGCATTATTCATTTGTGATTTAGACTAGGCTACTTCGATCATCAAAAAGCTGCTTTCGAGGCACACCTTACACCGTTGCCTCGAACAACTTACCTGAAAACTATTGTAAGAGCTTCAGGAAATTGGAGACCGAATTTGTCTCCAAAGATACCCACCAGCCACCGCTATCATTGCGTCACCCTTTCTTGCGACACTTTAACAGTGTGGCAGACTCGCTACCCAATGATAATAGTTTCTTCGTGACATAAATCCCCCTATGCCACAAATATGAATAGGTCTCAAGGACAACGCTGGACTGGATTCACTGTAGCCAGCACACATTGAAAACGCAAATGGCATGCGAGACGAAGACAACTTCCGCATGTCGCCAATTTCTACAATGCGGAGAAAACGAAAAGCTAGATAGATAGTCAGTAGATACTCTTGGGAGAAACATATATGTGCTACTCACGTTGTTCGTTGCAGCAATGGCGATGCTGTCTTCGAAAGGATGCCAACTCATATGTAAGATCTTTTTGTTGAAGTCGATTTGGTCTGCGTCTGTTTCCTTCTTCATCCTTCCACCTTGACCTCCAAGACCAGCGGCCGGACTACCTGCCCTCGAATTGCCCTTTTTACCATTTGCGGCAGTTGGGCTTGCAGCTGGGTTGATTGGTGTTGGAACACCAACCTTCTTAGCCTTGAAAGCTGATTTATCGGCTTGCAGAACCACCTCCACTTCCTTGTCAGGGTCTGTTGGGTAGATCATGAAGTTGTTGTTGTAACTTCCAGTCATGACATTCTTAGCATCACCAGAGAATACCACCTCAAACTTGTCAAAGATACTATCGTTTTCGTAAGTATCACACAGACGTGGTCGAAGATGCTCGTGGATGGGAATAGTCTTGACGGGCTGTCTCTCCATATTGACATCCCAGATTTTGACAGTGAGATAATCACGTGAAAGAATGTATCGACCGTCATGAGAGAATCGGACATCAGAGATGGAGGAGATGATCTCCGAGAAAAATGATCGAGCAGAAGGGTCCTCTTCCTGTTCGAATTCTAGAAAGATATACGTTTAGTTGAATTCCAAGGACAACGATATGGTAGACTTACGCTTTGCATGCTGATCACAGAGAGCACTTTCTCTCATATCTGCAAGTTTGATTGTTCCTTTTGAACTTGCATACATGAACCAGTTACAACTCTGTGGGTGGAACTCTGCAGCCGTGATGACTTCGGTAAGCTCCTCCATGTTGGCGGGCTTGATGTCTACGATGTTAAAGCTTTGATCTTGAATATTCAAGTTCCATAAGTTTATTCGCAAATCATCACTGCTAATGAATGTCTCCCCATCGCTATTCACCGAAATGCTGTTGATATGGTATGCATGCGCATTGGCATAAGTTCGACGTGGTACTGCTGCAACAACAGTGTCGTGATGAGTAAGGCGGGGTAATTTAAGGTCGTGAGCACTGTTGAAATGAACATTTGATATGGGTCGAACACCGCCACCACCTCCCGCAGGATTTCCTGGAGTCAAATCATGAGAAAGGTTGTTCTCTGCAACAACTTTCAGCGATTTCTCGAAGACTTTCCATAACTTTATAGTCTTATCGTTCGTTGAAAGTAGGTAATGGGAGGCATTTTGGCGTCGGCACCACTTAATCTTATTGATCTTCTCTTCTATCTCTAGTGACTTGAGGTAATCGAATTCGGGCTCGTGAGACTGAAATTCTGTGTGAAATTTATACTCGCATGTTTTTTTCTAGAAAGCGTCAGCATTTGGGCGACTTGCACAATCTACACGGAGAGATTTGATTCTGTACCGTCTCATTCCTTTCAAAAAGGACAACACGTCCACCTTTGTCTCCTGTAGCAAGATAATTTCCGGTGTGATCGAATTCGACTGTTGATATGATATCCGCTATAATCCATCGTGTCAGTATCTATAGAAAGAGATGAAGTTGTATATCCGCAGAACAATAACAAGCGCTATCGATGTATAGAAGAAGCAAAGGAACATACCTTCTGTTATATCTTCGACATCGCCTTTGTCACCAAAACATCTGATAACAATTTGTTAGCTCTGATTTCACGGCAGTGACGCAATCAATGCAGAAAACACTTTCACGACCCCTCAACCATGATTTCACAGGTGGCAGATGAACAGGACTATAGCAGTAAGAGTATACTTACTGAGTGAACTTCCAAGTTGGAGAGTTCGGTTCCCCTTCTACCATCTTTTACGAGCTGTGCGGAGGAGATTATATCCTCTTCCTATTGCAGGCTATTTTGTAAAAGGCTGTTGGTACTGAAAGGATTACTCGATCGCGTCAAAATTGTGTAAGTTTGACGTGTGGTTGATCTTTGATGCAAGGAAGGCTGAGGTATCCTGTACGTGCTGGGGTAGGTGGTGGTGGAGTGTAAAAGGTTGGAATCAAGTTATTATCGACGGTGTGTCGGGTAAGAAAAGAGTACCAGTACTGTATGGTTTTCCTATTCCTAAAAGGTTAATCAAGTATAAAGTACTTGAAAGGTGTCAAGATAAAGAAGGCGACAAGATTGAATATTCTGAAATCAATCTTGTTGATGTTGTAAGAAGATTGTTTGTTGGGGGGTCGGAGGGTTATTTTGATGGTTTGTAGGCTGAGGTTGTATGGGTTTATTGGTTTATTTATTGGGGTTCCTTCGTTATAAGATTCAATGCACAATCTTGATGAGGGCCCGCCGCCGTCGTCAAATCAAATGAAAATAAGGTTTTCACTCCACTATGATGACAAACGTCAGGCTTTCAGAATGAAAGATAAGTAATTGATTGATTTGTACCATAAACCGACAAATTAATGAAGAAATGAAAAGGGAGAAAAAAAGAATTCTAATTATAATGAAAAGGTATCTATTCTATTGTTTTCTCAACACCTTTTCTTTGAGAAAATAGAGTTTTGATGAGTTTTGAAAAGTTTTAAAGCAAGAAAAAAGACTTGTATCTCATCAGCAAGATATCTATGATGACCCAAATGCGGCTTCCTGAAAGAACCTTTCCTTATTAAGCAAAGTCTGAATAGACTGATTAAGTAATACTAGCATGGTCATCTCTTTATATCGGATTCACCTCTGTACTGGGAGATTCAAATGGCCTTTTAATTTTAACTACCTACCTGGAGTTATAATAAGGTAGTACCATTATCCAGATGTATCCTATACATTATCAATACCAGTACCAATACCAGTATCAATACTAGTACCAAATATCCATTCTTTATAGCCTATCTAATCAATCAATGTGAAAATAGAGTTATTGATTTATTACAAATAGAACATTGGCTTATTGAAGATAGTAGATACAGTACTTGTTTGTACATTGTTATTAACTACCTAGTATATCCTCAATCTCAACCTCAATCTCAGCATCATACCTCAACTCAATCAATGATAATGATCAATCCAATGTGAGAAAGTACCTGAAGAGGAATAGCTATATATTTTTCATTCTCACAAGTCTACCTAGCTATAAGGCCGATGATCATTTGAACCAGCTGCTGCCATTTTCCGTGCCTCATAATCCTTGATGAACCTCTCTCTTTCCTTCTCAGCCTCGGACTCATCTTCTGAGCCTGTACTTTCATTCTCGGATCCTAATTCAGCTTCTACTAGTTCTTCCGCATTCTCTTCTGCATCCTCGTCGTCATCCTCTTCCACTTCCACTTCCGCTTCGACTTCTTCCGCTTCTTCCCCCCACGCATCCATCATCTTGATGGCATCTTCGGTCGAAATATCTCCTGGTACACCTACAGTACTGACATCTGGCGTGGCACCTTTGTCGTTAGAGGTAGATGCTTTCTTCTTCCGAGGCTTCGGTGTAGAAGCAGAGGCTTTTGTCTTTGAAGTCGATGGTCCCTTCATCATGCCGTATTGCTTCGCTCTTTTATTCTCTACCTTACCCCCCTTCCTATATTGCTTTCTCTTCGACCTTGAATCAATATGCCTTACCCCCTTTCCGGTCATTCCACTAATTATACCCTTCTCTCTCAGTTTCTCAATCTCTTCGTCTGTCAATCGCATGTCCGGTACAGGCACGTGTACTTTCCTCCCATTCTTTCCCTCCACGAAGTCCGGTATGCTTAGTGCCACGTCGAAAGCATTGTCGGGGATCACTTTATTGCTGCGAATTGCAATCAACTTAGTTTTCATGATCGCTCGAATTTTAGCGAGAGTACCATTGTTGTAGTATCCGTCATGATTGTTATCGTATGCCTTGGCCATTGGAGCATTTTGTATCATAGGAATAAGAAGGGGGTCTGTTATGTCGCAGATTTGCCACACTTTACCGTCGAGAGTCAAAGAGGTGCCATTGAACATATGTGATGGAGCATCTCCTGTGCCATAAACCTGGTGTCTTGTGTATTGACTCCGCATATCCTTCCATTGACCATCAGGAGCACGCTCATCTTCCTCGTATAACTTGAAGAAAATGGTTTGATAAATGCGACATGACGGATCTCTGCGGGGATCAACTCCATATCTTATGAGGGCATCGCGCCAAGGACCACTCCGGAATTGGTAGCCAACATATTGGAGGGCAGGTTTCATCAAATAATATCCTGGTTCGTTGACGAGACGATTCTGCAATGCTCGACGAGTCCATATTGGGCGCTCGTTCATTGCTTGTTGAAGCGCGGCCACAAAATCTTTGAGGACAGGATCATCCGGGACTGCACGATGCGCCTTTGCTGGGACGTCTTCGTCTTCGTCGCAATGTACATACTGCATCTCGAGCTTTGGCATTTTTGAGCGATTAACGATATTTGTCTCTCCCGTCTCAGCGTCCACTTCGGTTGAAATCAAAGGATTTTGACGATATCCCCAGTTGAAAGGTAACGGATGATGAGTGAACGTTGGAGGAGGAAGAATCTCTTCGTTCGGTTTCCATCCCTTGTCACTACCTAGCTTGAATTCTCGCATCTTTCCCCCTATTTAAAGTCAGTACAAATTTGTAAGTGGTAATTATGAGAACTTGCAGTTAGCGGAAAATGCAGTCTCTTGGAAATGTGACATGAAGGGTGTGTGAGATGTGGATTGATGATAGTCGGCAAGTCCTGAATCTCGTTAGTACCATCACGATCATAAGAGGAAAACACCAATACCTCTATAGCGATGACTCTGTTCGATCGCTCCTGCAGCCTCCACGGTGTATTTACCAACATTGTCTCGTAGCTTTCTGAGTATACTGGTAGGCTTATCATTCAAGGAGTGTGATTGGATATCACTCATCGAATTCTGGCAATGGGTAACCTCAGACACTGGATGTCCATCATCAGTATAAGGATCTTGAGATCCACGCTTGCGCTTTCTACCAGTACGCTTTGGTACCGTTATCTTAAGGAGAACATTGTTGGTAATGCTATTGTAGGATAAAATTGGTTCGCATGTGGGATCTTGGATTCGGAGGAAAAGTGGAATACATTCATCTTCAGTGCCCTCAAGAATCTGTTATCAATATTTAGTCCAAAGTCATGTTGCTATCACTAAATGAGATTCATTTGTCAGGTAGATGACAGAATATCGAACAATACCGGAATACGAAATTAATTTCACATACCTTGTTCCATTGTGGTTGACGTCCAAATGTTTTGATACCGTTTTCAAGATTTTTGATAATCAATGGATGCTCGACAGCGACAATTTCTCTTGGAGGAATTGTGTATACTGGAGCAGATAGGTCTTCTTCTTCTTCGTAGTCAAAATCTTCTCCTTCTTCTTCATCGTTTTCCTCAATCATTTCCATGCCTTCTGCCTCTTCATCTTCATCTTGATCTTGATCTTGATCTTCCTCCTCCTCACCCTCTTCCTCATAAACCTCATCCTCAGATTCCATGCCGTTCAAATCCTCGTATTCTTCCATATCTGTAACCAGGAGAAAGGTTACCAGGATTGAAAGCGAGACAGGCCTTTTCCAATTTGGACACTTCTTGTGCAGCTAGGTTCAATTGAATGCCTAGATTCGATGATTTTACCACTTTTTTGGATTTCCTTAATTTACAATTAACTCAATAATTGGTAAGTGATGTTTCTCCGAACCAACGAGGTTCTAGTTCCAATACCGGTAAAGATTATAGGGAATTTTGGTTGAACCAATCAGTAAATAAATTTCCTTATTTTTCCTATTCTCTCTCCTCGTGTTTGACGATTTTTAGACGATTTTTTATATTCACGTCACCGAGAATTAGGTACTTTCCAAGATTGAAACAAACAAAGTGAAAATCCCCCCAGAAGGTCATTCTTATATGTTATTGCCTAATAAATTAGGCTTTTTATTTAATTCACGCTAATGAATCTACTGAGGGGACCACTTGTATAATGTTGTTCATGAGATTACCTAGACTTTTGAAATCATGTTAAAATAATAAAACTCTCCTTAATTATCCAGTTGAAGGAAGTTTTCATACCTCGTTCTCTCAATACCCAATTCATTACCTACCATCTGCCATTTTATCAGCTGTTCACAGGAAAGCGCCAAACACGTTGGTTGACCTTCTTCGTCAATTTGATAGCTTGTGCTGCTTCAGCGTAGAGAAGAATCCTATTCACCGCCCGGATCAAGCCTCGACCTACCTTAAAACCCGTTGCCGCAGTATCATCTATCGTGTATGCCCATCGTCATTGTTGGCTCATTTGTGTGTTTGAATTCACCTCTTTTGTTCCTATCTTTCTCCCAACTTGCGCTGACTGCTATCGTTTGTGGTAGGACTTGTTTACTCGTGCGCAGAAGTCAACACCCCTCACACAAATCATTGAGATATAGGAACTCGACAGATGAAATCAAATCCATTGGCACTTCCCATCATTCTCCATAAAAACCTGCCAACATCGCACTATCAATTTACAACCAGGAAATTCAAGCTACGCCAGCAGAGAGGCACTGGAGGTTTCCATTTGCGTATCAACAAATCGCTACAGTTGAATCCACATCACTCATCTTGTGCCATACAGCGACAAACGGGAGTCGGGCCACTTCTATCGAGTAATTACCGCAGTCTTTCTAGCCTCGTCCAGAATAGGATCGACACATTCAAAGCAGCGAACCTCAGAGTGACGCGACAACCGTCACTTATAAAGTTGAACGTATTGGTGGACAAGAACAGGAGGTTCCATAGACCAACAATATACCAAGAGTATCGAATAAAGGAGAATCTGTATCTTTTACGTTCTACTTGATAGTAGTTCAAGATGAAAGGCTTCAGACAGAGGGTTGTAAGTCATTATGATGCTAAATACTTTTCTTATAGCATTCGTATCATCTTGGAATGTGATCATCTGCTAACCCCATCAGCATGAGCAGCTCTCGCGTACAAAAGATCCAAACAAATCAAAATCTAAGAAGGGGGATTCAAAAGACGGCACATCTTCACCTTCACAATCCAGTTCACGGGAAGCGGGGCAATCACCTGCAGTAACACCCTCATCTTCGAGTACAGCGCTTAATGACTTGCGAAATAAACCACTACCTCCAAACGATGGTACATCTAGTTCAGCTAGCCCTGCTGCGCAACCACCTTTGAATCCAGCTCCTAGCACAATGCCTGCTCCAGATCGATTCAATACTGGAGGAGGTTCTCCCAGTCCTGGGACTCCGAATCGTCATGGGGCACTCCCTCCAAGCGTTGTTATCAGCCCAAGCGCACCGGTAAGGCACGCCACATAACTTGATCATCTTCACCTTACTAATCTCTTCATTTTAGCACATCCCTCCTCCAGGTGCCGCAGAAACAATGCCCCACGATCTTGCCCCTCCCAAGGCTGGTCAGAAGTCACTGATGTTTGATCGGTTACAAACAACCCCAAAGGATGTCCCAGAAGGCATCAGAACACCGAAGCGACAGCACTCTTCGAGATTTGACATTTCCCCTCTCCGCGAATTAGAAAAGCTGCCTGGTTTCCACGAGGTACCACCTAATCGCCGCCAAGATCTTTTCATGCAGAAGATTGACCAATGTAATGTCATCTTTGATTTCAACGATGCAAGTGCGGATATGAAGTCCAAGGAGATCAAAAGGCTAGCTCTCCATGAACTCCTCGATTATGTTGCCAACAATAGACAAGTCATCACCGAGGCTATGTATCCCAAAGTTGTCGAGATGTTTAGCAAGAACCTCTTCCGTCCCATACCACCTCCTATGAATCCTCAAGGTGAAGCATTCGATCCTGAAGAAGATGAACCGGTTCTCGAAGTTGCCTGGCCGCATATTCAAGTTGTGTATGAATTCTTCCTAAGATTCATCGAGAGTCAAGACTTCAACACCAATATTGCGAAGGCATACATAGATCACAGCTTTGTCTTACAGTTACTTGAACTTTTCGATTCTGAAGACCCCCGTGAGCGAGACTTTTTGAAGACAACCCTTCATAGGATATATGGAAAATTTCTCAACCTCCGCTCATACATTAGAAGGTCTATCAACAACGTATTTTTCCAATTTGTTTATGAGACCGAACGTTTCAATGGTATTGCTGAGCTATTGGAGATACTTGGGTCTATCATCAACGGTTTTGCTCTACCACTAAAGGAAGAACACAAATTATTCCTGACAAGAGTCTTAATACCATTACACAAAGTCAAGAGTTTGAGCATGTATCATCCTCAACTCGCGTACTGCATTGTTCAATTCTTAGAAAAGGATGCAGCATTAACAGAAGAGGTATGTCCAGCACGATCAATTTATATTCCATCTACTCACACTTTTAGGTTGTTTTGGGGTTGCTCCGCTATTGGCCTAAGGTGAACAGCACAAAAGAAGTAATGTTCCTTAATGAAGTGGAAGATATTTTCGAAGTCATGGACCCCGCAGAATTCGCGAAGGTTCAGGAACCTCTTTTCCATCAATTGGCAAAATCAGTTGCGAGTCCGCATTTCCAAGTGGCCGAACGTGCGTTATACTTCTGGAATAACGAGTACTTCTGCAATCTGGTTAGCGACAATGTTGAGATCATCTTGCCGATCATGTTTGCACCTCTATATGAGAACTCTAAAGGTCATTGGAACAGGTAATATATTTCACATTCCCCGTGATGAGTGACAGTAAGCTAACTAAGTTGATTTAGAACGATCCACGGCATGGTGTACAATGCAATGAAGCTTTTCATGGAGATCAATCCCCAGCTTTTTGATGATTGCTCGCACGACTACACTGAGCACCAGAACAATGCCGAGGCCAGAGAACTAGCCAGAGAAAACAAATGGAAGGCTCTAGCGGAACAAGCAGGAAGGTCGAAGACCAATGGATCTGTCTTACCTACTGGGCCCGCTTCTCCATCGCGAACCAAAGCAACCTCTTTGAGGGTAGATGAGGTAGATCCAATCACGGATGACAACCAGAAGAGGCTGGATTCATTAAATCTTCAAGATGGAGATCGTCGAGAGCGAAGACCCGCTCACGATCGACAAAACTCGGTAGGATCTTCCAGAAGCCAGCGATGATTGTTGTTAGTACTACACCGCTTTGTTTCCATTTTCATGGTGCCCTCGTGGGGAGTGAAAGTTGTCATTTGTCCTGATTAGAAGTGTTGACTCACGCATACCTTGTCTTCGTTATCTTCGTCCTCTCGTCTTCCTGTCCGTTACCCCCCTCACCTTCAACATTATTTTGTCTATACCTACCTTAGCTACGCACACTCTGTCTCATTTGGTCAGGGTTCATTCGTTGACGAAATTCATGTCAGAACCATTTCGTATCGGATCTCGATGTCGATGCACAAAGATCGGCGAGCGGGATTTCTACAGCAGCAGTTGTCGGGCTCGTTTCTTCTTCGGCTGTCGCGCAAAAGGACTTGGATGGCGATCCGGAGACAAGCGACCACTCTTTTATCGACGATCAAGCTAGTCATCTCTCTTGAGTTACAATACACCTTCATTTTATGCATGGAATCCGGATCAATAAGTTTTTTTGTTAGGTTAGGTTAGGTTGGGTTGGGCATGGAGTTTGATTGATGGATGGTATTGAAGTAGCAAGGTTATGAATGGGGTTGTGGATGTGATGTGACGAGGTTTGGTTTGGAGATAAGATGAAGATGGGGATGGAGATGGAGAGGGAGAGGGAGATTTTTATGCACGCATGGGATGGGTATGCAGAGTAGTTAAATAAAGTAGTATTGCTTTTGATAGGAAAAAAACGAACAAGTAGATCTTCTCGCAACTGGAAGATACGCATGTACGTCTGTATGCATGGGATGGATTCTTGGGGAATTGCAAGACTAAACTTCAGCGGGAGTCGTAGTACAGACATAGCATAGGTAGTGCAATTCATTAGTTGGTACTAGTACAGAAAGCAATGGGAATGGGAATGGGAATGGGAATCATAAATATTATTGATAGAAGTGAACCTTTTTTTTCTTCAGATGGATGTGTGTGTGTATTCATTCATGTTGAATGGGGGGTTAATAATAAGTTAAGGAAAGGAAGGGCT